TGCGGCGCCCCGGGGTCCCACGTCAGCAGCCCGGGAGGCTCGGCCCCGCCGCCGCCTGTTTCACTCCCACCCAGCGGGTGTCTCCGAGAGTCCCTGCGTGCCCTGCTGGTCCTTCCTCGTCCCCCGGGACCCCCCTCTTGGATGCCCTGCAGTCGTCGCTCTGGGAGGCGCTCCACGCTCCTGGGAGCCTGGGGATATTTTTAGGCTCCCTCCTCGGATCTTGGGTGCTCAGCGGTACACACAGATGGGTATATAGGTTTAGGGGCGCCTGGAGGGAAAGCTGTACAAATGCAGTGCTGTTTGTGGGGAAACCACGCAGCTTGCCTGAACTCAAGATCGGTTGTCCGTGTGACTTTCCCACTTGGGGAGGGCGGGTCTTCAGTCACAGAGGAAGGCCTGTTTCTTAGCGCATCCCTGCCAGCGAGCCAGGGAAGGTACATTGATTGACTCGGCTCCACCTACATCACTGTTGATTAGAACCTGTCAAGGCTCCTGGCAACTTAGTACCCAGCGGGTGGCAACGCCCATTTCCATGGTGCACCTGAAGACGCTGGGGAACTCGGTGCCCTTGGGGACTTGGTAGTCAGGCTGGATTTGCTAGCTTCCAGGGCTCCTAGTCTCACCCAGTGTTGCTTCTCAAACTTTCTCCCTCTGTAAAAAAATTTTTTTTCAGTACTGAGGATTGAGCATGGGGCCTTGTGCTGCTAGGCAAGTGATCTACCACTGAATGAAAGACATCACATGCCCTTTGTTAAGTTTTTTTTTTTTAAATTTGAGACAGGGTATTACTATGTTGCTCAGGCTGGCCTTAAATTTGGCAGTCCTCCTGCCTCACCCTCCTGATTAGTTGGGATGAGAGGCCTATGCCATCTTATCCCAATTGTTTCGCAGTCTTTAGAGGTTAGGTGACTTATGCTTCTGTACATTTCCCTGGAGTTATTTGAGGCATCTTGCTGTAGCTTCTCACGTGTGCTCTTTTGGTTGTGCCTCTGCATTGTAGTCACTTGTGCTGGAACGTGTACATCCCAGGGAGCTGCATCAATTGGTGGCCTCCTCCCTGCATGCAGCTTGTCCTGGATGGGGTTTTGGGAAGGGGCTTGGCAGAGTGCCGTGTCACCATTGCCCTGGGAAGTAGGCAGGTGCCCCAGCTTCAGAGTGAGCCAGGAATCAGCCCGCACCTGAGCCCGGCCCTTTAGAACTGAGGCTGCCAGAGCCTGTACTTTCACTTTCTGCGTTAGTCCTACACCTAAAGATGCAGAGTCGGAGGGGGAGAGGGTGGGCACTCCGGTGGTGCTCTGCCACAGTCGCTGCCTAGCAGCCAGTTGCGGTTGGTCGGAGGGTGCCTGGTGCGGGGAGGAGCGACCTGTAAGCAGGCCTTGACTTTGTTGGCCAGGCAGGCAGGCGTACAAACAGGTATGGGCCCCAGTCAGGAGCAGGTCTGCTTTTCTTCCCAAACTTTTCTGATCTGATACTGAAGTTAATTTCTGTTCCAATGTAATAATAGACTGCTCGTCACCTCCTTAATGAAGGTGTCAGGGTGATGGGAGCACTGGTATCCTTTTGGTACCGGGGATCGAACTTGGGTCCTTGCCCTTGGGAGGTGGCGGCACCACTGAGCCGAACCTCCACCTTTTGAGATAGTGGCTGGAGAGCCTCCTGGGAAGTCTTCAGTGCCCTGGAATGTTGGGTCCGAGCCTCTGCCTCAGTGAGTTACCTTTGGGTAACCATGTACTGCTTCCATCAAAGCTGAGCGCCCTTATCCCATATGACATTATATCTCTTGTCGCCTATGGCTGTGGCTCTCGATCTAAACTGCTGGCATCCAGAGGAGCTCAACAGGGACAGAGGGAACAAGTTCCAGGCATGTTGAGTGCAGGGTCCTCTCCAGTAATTCCATCAAAGCTGAGCGCCCTTATCCCATGACATTATATCTCTTGTCGCCTATGGCTGTAGCTCTCGATCTAAACTGCTGGCATCCACAGGAGCTCAACAGGGACAGAGGGAACAAGTTCCAGGCATGTTGAGTGCAGGGTCCTCTCCAGTACCCACCACGCCTGTCATCTGACACTCACACACACCCAATAGCACAGCTCTTAAGTAGTTTGATTGAGGCTTGACTCTACAGGAGGAACATCACTTTGAAAACCTGCCTCACAGCAAACACTTTAGAGCTGACCCCAGACACACACCGGCACAGCTGTCCTTGTGTGCCATCTACCTGGTGTTTTCTGTTCTGTTTTGTAGGAACTGCTGTTGCTACCCTTTGTATTGATTGTTCCTACCACATTTGGAAAAACTCTGGTCTGAGGGAACCCAGACCTCAGTTGGGTAGGGGGTGGGAAACTGGCCCCTGTGCAAGCCGGCGTTAGGGATCATCATGGATACAGGTTACCTGAGGGAACGGAAGTGGTGGGACTCGGAACACACTGCTGCCATAAGAAATGAGGAGAAATAACTTCCAGGTTTAGATCCCAGGCTGAGTGGTTCTGTTCTTTCTGGAATCCGCTCCCTGTACTCCACCTCAGGGACTCAAGTGAAGTGTGGGGTGGTCAGGCCCTGCCTTGCATTAGCACCTGTCTGCCTTCCTTGTGGCCTGAGGCTGACTCTGTGGTCCCTGTGCCTCCACCTGCGTGTGACTCCCTGGCCTCAGGCTCTGCCATCACACACTTGGGGTCCCTTGAACAGGACCTCTTGCCAGGAGATTCCTAAGGGCCCTGCCCCATCCCCTCTGTCAGCTTCTGGTCCTGGGGTGGAGTGCATGCTCCTGGGAGCTGGCCCTGTACCCCTGGGTCCTCCCTCCTGTGGCTTCCAGAGCGCCTGCCTGGGCTTTGCAGTCTCTCCCACAGCTTAGCACAGAGCCGGGTGCTTAGGCCTCAGAAGTTTGTCGGCCAAGTTGTGGGTAGGGTCCTAGGCACTGGCGGAGTCTTCAGGCACCCCAAGGCTCACGCTGGGCTCTGTCTTCCCAAGGTGATCAGGGTGACTGGTTTCCTGAAGGGGCTCTACACAGATGCCGAGATGAAGTCGGATAACGTCAAGGTAAGGCGTGGGGCGTGAGGTCTGGAGCTGAGCTCCTACCTGTGCTCGTTGCCATGCTGAGGAGCGGAGGTGGAGGCTGATGAATTTGGGAGTGGGCAGATAGATACCCTTTCTCCCTTCACTCCTCATCTGGGCCAGAATTTAGTATCAGCATTTCACCTAGACTGAAAGTTTTAATGAATTGCTCTTGTTGTAGTGTAAAAGGGCAGTATTTCTAAATTGACACACACCTAAAAATGGCCTTTTATGTAAAAAGAAAGTATCCTGTGCCTCCTGGTCATGCTGAGGAGAATGCCGACTCTCTGAAGCAGTATAACATTGGTATTTTCAATGGAAACTTTTCAGGATAAAGATGCAAAAATTAGCTTCCTGCAGAAGGCCATTGATGTGGTTGTGCTGGTCTCAGGAGAACCTTTGTCTGCCAGACCGGCGCGAATCGTGGCTGGGCACGAGCCCGAGAGGACAAATGAACTGCTGCAGATGGTTGGGAAGTGCTGTCTTAACAAGGTAACCCCATGGCACCCCATGTGGCAGCTGGGGCACTGGTCAGGGAATTTCGGCCTTGATGGGGTTTGAATTAGATAATATATTTTTTACCCCTGTCTTGTTTATATTGGGTTAAGATCCGCATAAAATAAAATTAGCCATTATTGTTCTTTAAGTACTGTGGATTGAACACGGGTTGCTCTACTATTGAGATACATTCCTAGCTCCTTTTATTTTGGGACAGGTTCTTGCTAGGTATTAAGTTGTCCAAGCTGGCCTTGAGCTTGTAATCCTCCTACCTTAGCTTCCCTAGTAGATGGAGTTACAGGCCTGAGCCACCATGCCTGTCAAAATTTGCCATCTTAACCATCTTAAAGTACACATTTTAATGATATTAAATACATTAATGATGTTATATGCAGCGGTTACCAGAATTCTTTTCATCTTGCAAAACAGATTCTGTATGTCTTAAATAGTAACTCTCTTCCCCTCTCCCTGGTTCCTAGGACCCATCCTTCTCCTTTCTGTTGCTGAGTTTGCCTATTCTAGATGCCTCACATAAGCTGCAATGTGTGACCTTTTGTGACTGGCTTAATTCACTGGTGTGATGTCCTCAGATTTTATAGGTGTTGTAACATGGTCAGAATCTCCTCCTCCTTTAGGGGTTAATACTCTTTTGTTGTGTGGACAGACCACATTTTGCATACCCATTCATCTCTCTGGACACTTGGGTCATGTCTACATTTCAGCTTCTGTGAATAAAGGTGTGTGAACACAGTGTGCTAATGCCTCTTCAGGAACAGATGTCAGTTTGGGGACTCAGACTCAAAAGGGGAATCACTGGCTCATCTGATAAATCAGTCTTTCACGCTTCTCTCTCTATCAGCTGCCCTAATGGTGTGAGCCGACGAGACCCTACGTTATGGCAGGGACTGTGGCCCTGCCTGTCAGAGGAGAGGGTCTACAGAGCCATGGGCTGAGCCGTGCTGCCCTTGACCCACACACATGCCCACACTCGCGTGCAGCCAGGGCCGAGGCCAGAGGCATTAGCGTGAATGGACCTTGTTGCTAGTGCCTGACCATCAGTAATGGTTGTCAGGAGTGCTGTTCTTGTCTGTGATAAACCATTTTCCTTCAGCACTGTGTTCTTTGGATGTCACGGCAGAGTCTGTCCAGTGAGCTGTCACTGACGCTGACGTCCATATTTGTTATGAGTGCAAATCTTATTTTTCCCTTACATTTAATTTCCGGACGTTTGGACACCAAGCTCTCCAGTGATGATGCGGTGAAGAGGGTTTTGGCTGGAGAGAAGGGTGATGCGCGAGGCCGGGCTGTGCGGACCTCAAAGTCTCACGAGCTGGACAAGAGCGCGAGGGAGGAGGAGTCCAGGAGGCGGAAAGACAAAGAGGTGACACGCAAGCTGTGCATCTTGGACAGTGGGATGGTGAGTCTGTGTGTGCCTGGGGATCGTTTGTAACTCACACGTATGTATTTTTAGGATAGAAGAAACTCTGAAGTAAAAGAAAGAAGCACAAGCAGAGATGAAAAACAGAAGGAAGAGCCGGAGGAAGAGAGCAAACCAAGGGACAGAGAAAGGGGCAAGGAGAAGACGAAGGAGAGCGACAGAGACCGACACAGAGACCCTGAGAGGGACAAGTACAGGGAAGGGGAGAGAGAGCGAGCCAGAAACAGGGCCAAGCAGGACAGGGAGCGGGACAGGGACAGAGGCCACAAGGACTGTGACAGAGAGGTGGATAGGGAGAAGGAGAGGGAGAGGAGGAGCGAGGCCGGGAAGGAGAAAGGGAGACTGCACGACAGGGATGGAGAGCACGACCATGACAAGGGGCGAGACAGAGAGCGCCCGAGGGCCAGAGACAGAGAAGGGCCACCCTCCAGGGACCCGGACCGGGAGAAGAGCAGAGAGCAGGACTGGCCGGGGAAGAAGGTGGGTTGTCACTGCTCTGTGGGGCAGCTGGGGCTCCCTGGAAGGACTTCTGTCCTTTTACAGTGTGAAGGAAGCTGGTTTTCATGGATGCCAGTTTAAAGCTACAGCAGTTTTGGATTCCTGTTGTTAACCCAAAGAGCCACTGGTTTCTTTTTTTCAATTTAAAATTTTTTTGTCATTTATTAGCAGTGGTTTCTTGTTCAGCTGGTTATTAAGGTGTACCCTGAGCTCTTGGCCGTGTCCCACCTTACGCCCAGCAGCGTGGAATCTGGGTTTGTCCCTAACCTGTCCGCTGTTGCATCCCAGCCCTGTGGGTTTCTGGCACGTAGTAGGTCTGCAGTGATGCCTTGGTGAAGGGACGCATGGGCTGTAAGAGTTTTCCGGCCATGAATCAAAAGTAGTTGGCTGCTGGGCATAGGTGTGTGAGGCGTCTTTGTGCAGAGCTTTGCTCTAACTGGCAAGAGATAGTGTTCGATGCTTGCTCCTACAGCGTAGAATTTGGACCATGACGGCTTCCTGCCAGGCTTGTTGGAAGAGTGACATTTTCCAGGCTTTGAGCTCATTTGCCCAGGCGCCCTTGTCTGTCTGGCCTGATGTGTGCATGAGTTTCTGGAGGTGGGAGTCGCCTCCCTAGGGCTGAGTCCACGTGGGTTTGGCCTGGTGTGTGGCAGGGACGTGCCATCCTCCCACAGGCTCTTAGGTATTGGCAGATAAGTGCTGTAAGAGCGCAGTTGGCTGTAATTCTTGTTTAATGCGGTTTTGGGCAATTTTAGGAAGGCCAGGAGATCCTTTTGGTTTCGAATGGTATGCATGGCTTCAGGACTCAGCTGTCAGAACGGGTTTTCCAGATGGCCTTCTTGTGGGGACCTGGGCTCTGGCTTGCAGCTATGGCTGGCAGAAGCAGGACCTGGACAGTTCCTGTTGCCCTGCCGTGTGACACGGCCAGCTGGGGAGGCTGGGCCTCGGTGGACGGCCACCTTGTTCTGCAGCACCTTCCTGGAGTGTGTCTGCCGGGAGAGGTGCAGGCTCCATGGGGCCCCTGCCCAAAGCCTGTGCTCTGGTCTTTGATGGGAGCCCGTCATGAGGAGCGTCACAGGAGAGAGGGGCCGGGCCACAAGACTGCTGTGGTTTGTCAGGGGCTGGGTTTAGTGTCCTGTGAGCTTTGGGTCCTTGCTCCATAAGGTGGCTCTTCCCCTGTGCACCTGCTGTGGTCGCTGTTCTGAGAGCCTGGCCCCTCTGAGTGAGCTTTAGCCCCTCCCTCTCTGCAGCTGCCTGAGAAATGCTTTTGGCACTCAGCCTTCAAGCAGTGCAGTGTGGCACAGCCTGTGGGAGTCCTCAGTTCGGTGCCTGTCAGGTTCAGTGATGTCCCATCATGGATGAGTTGTCTCAACAGAGAGAGACGACTCCGGAGAGCAGCGTGTGCAGGCTGCTGTCTGGGGATGCAGAGCGAGGTCATTGGGAGGATTGGAGGTCGTGACCGAGGGGTCAGCCTTGCTCTAGATCTTCCCCGGAGTGTGTGCCAGGGGCTTGTCCAGCACCGTGGGCCTTGAGATGCCACCGTGATGCGCCTCCCCAGATCCCAGCCCTGGGTGCTTGGTGTGGACTTAGCTCTGGGCCTGTCCTGCTCTGCACACTTACTTCGCCTCTGGCCCAGCTGCTGCCTCTTTCTGTGTCTCTCTGCCTGGAGGAGCATGGTCAGGTGGCCCTTGGCTGGCTCAGGCTTCCGGAAGAAGGGTGAGTGGGAGCAGATGCAGGACTCGAGGGCCTTGGTGCACCTGCAATAGCAGATGTCGGGTGACACCTGGCTGGGTAATTATGGGATGGTTGGGCGCAGTCATCGCTAGTTCTTGAGGACTTTCCTTGTCGATGTCTCATTGATGGCACTCTGCCCTCTTCTACCAGATGTGTCTTTCCTGAACTGATTAAGGTGTGAATTGATGTTTGCAGCATTCTTGTGGTTCGGAGGGTGCTTTCCCGACTGAAGCCTGCAGATGGCTTATTGAAAAGTTCCCCATTTCAGACTCACCCCCAGTAGGAGGGGCCCAGCCAGCAGAGGGAAGAGCCCCTTCCCTCTGGTGCTGGGTGTCCACGTCCACTCCATCCTGTGCTTCCTAACCCGCCATTTCACTGGGATGTGTTTCCTGAGGGTGCCTCTTGGCGCAGGGATTCTAAGGATCACAGGGATCACAGGGGTCACAGGGGTTGCAGGGATCATAGGGATCTCCTGCAGTTTGCCGAGAGGCAGGAGCATTTGATGTTCTGCAGGGAAAGAGGCCTCTTTCTGTTTGCTTGGAAGTTGGAAGTCCAAGCAGGGTAAGGCTGCTGGATCTGATATGGAGCAGAAGCTGGTCAGGGTTGTGGGCCAGATCTTAGTATCTTTTAGATGTTATACTTTTCTAGATGTTGTAGGTTTGATAATTCTACAATTCAAAAATTTTTAGTCAGGAAACTCAGGGGAGATGTCTAAGAAGTCATCAGACGGAGCTGTGAAAGACTCCAGAGCGGAAGCAGAGGTGAGCCCTGGGGTGGCACTGAGTGGGGAGCCGTCTGCTCTTAGCTCCTCGTCCCCTGGGCCGGGAGGGGAGCAGAGTTTGGGCTCACATATGTCAGTCCCACCTTAGCTTGTTGTAAAGAGGTGATTTTTGTAGTTAACCCCGGCAAGTTGGATGGGTGCTTTTTAGCTTGACTGGATGGGACGTGGTGCACTGCATACCAGGGGGGCAGGTGGTCGTTTGGGGGAGATGAGGGAGGTGTGGTTGGTGGTCCTGGGCAGGGATGGCTCACCAGGCTAACAGGAACTCCGTTGCACTCTGCCTGACCTGTCTGTGTCCCTTGGTGGTCTCTGGTGGCTGCCGTGTGGCTGTGGCCTGGCTTGGGTGCCTGGCTGTCCTGCGGGGGTCGGAGCAGAGGGGCCTCCTCAGGAGGGGGTCGGGAACAGCTGAGTTGGGCTAGGAGGCTGCTAGGAGCCCCTGGCTCCTCTCTGGGGAGCGGTGATGCTGGCTCTGTGCCATCCTCCTTGTGCTCTGCTGAACACCGGTGGTGGTGAGTTTTCTTTCCAAGGTGTTGACAGACACGTGAGTAATTTAGTCTGTGTGAGGTATTCTAGCCGTGTGTGTAAGTGCACCCGGCGATTGCACGGAGGCATTAGCCATGACTTAGCGCAGTCCTGGACTGCATCTCACTGTCAAGCAGCGTTGTGTGGCTGTGGTAGCAACAGAGGCTGGGTGCTGCACGCACACCTGGTGGCCAGCTCACCATGCGTGCTCAGCATGTTGCTGCCTGCCTGTAGCTGTACAAAGGTCTGCATTTGGGGTGCAGGGGTGTCACCCCAACCCAGCCCACACTCTCAAGTCCTGAGTGCTTGTTGCACTGTGCTTAGTTATTGTGAGTACCTCTCAAAGCCTGTGAGTGCTGCTGCTATTTTCAGTACTTGATCTTCCTCAAGCAGAGTTTGAAAACTAAGTTTGTCAATGGTTGTGCTGTGTAATACAGCCTTTAATTCTTTTTTCATTTTCTATTCTTTAAGGTGGAGGTTTCCAGCAGAGTATCCAGGTCACTGGCATCAAAAACTTCAAAACAGCGATTCAAAAATTCAGTGGAAGGTACTGCAAAGCAATCACTTGTGTAGCTAGAGACACAGCTCTGTTCCTCTGCCTGTTCACGATGGCTAGGAGCAAAAGCTTCTGTGGCTGGAACACAGCTCCTCTCCCTTGTCTGGGAATGAACAGAATATGTGGAAACAGTGCTTTTACACATGTGCAGGAACATGTACTCTGTGTGTACAAAGCCCCGTCACCAGGCGCAGAGTCACCTCCCTTAGCTGTCAATGTGTGTTGGATCTTAGGGGTGTGATCGAATTTTCATTTTCCAGAAATGAAAGTCTGGGCTCCCCGGGCTTCTGTCTTCTGCTCTGGGGGTTCATCCCGGAGCAGCCTGGACTGAGCATAGAGGCAGATGACGGCTGTGTGTTTGATACCTCAAGGTGCTGGGAAGTGCTGAGCTTGAGGGCCTGGCCTTGGGGGAGATTGGAGCTGGAACCAGGCCAGAGCCAGGTGGGGCTGGGAGGTGCTGCTGCTCCCTTGTGCTGGAGGTGCCTGTAGGGACACCCAAAGTTACACGAAGGAGCAGTGGTGGTTTCTGAAAAATGACCCATTTCCTAAAGCATGTGAGTTGAAACAAGGGTGGTGAGAGCATAGTAGGTGGAGTCTTTGCCAGCAGTGAGGCCCGAGGGCTAAGTCCCGGCCTTCCCAGCAATGGCAGGGTGAGTGCAGCTTCCTGTCGCAGCTGAGTCCCCTTCCACACTTCCCAGAGAGGTCATTGCCGGCCCTGGGCATGGGTATTGTGCAGTCTGCGCCCCAGGCTGCTCCTGCTGTGCCCTCTAGCTCGCCCTTCTCCGGGGTTGACGACAAGCTGGTTTCATAGATGAAAAACAGGAATTGAGTTAATAGTGAAATGGTGCTTTTTCTGGTGTCTGTAGCTGTGTTGATGTCCCCCCGCCTGTCCTTTCATCGCCTGCCTTCCTGGGGCCTCTGTCTGGGGCCGCTGTTCTGCCTCATCTGCACATGGATCGTGATCCCTGTGTGTTAGGGGCGCTTTCCAGTTATGTGTATTCATTTGTTTACTTGGAGTCATTGTCTCATGATGTAGTTCAGGCTGCTCTTGTTCTCACTATGTAGCCTAGCTTGTCCTGGAACTGACAGTGATCCTCCTGTCTCAGCTTCCTGAGTGCTGGGGTTATAGGTATGAGCCACCACACCTGCCGGTTATTTTAAATGAGTGTTTGTTTCTACTGATTATGCTTGGTTTGGTTTCTGTTTGGCCTGAGTATTAATTTTTATGTACTTGAAGCTTTTAGTAGTTTGTCCAGAGATTTGAGACATAAAACTTTGTGTGTGACTATGCATTTTTATATTTGATTTTTTAAGTGAATCTTAACTTGAATTTACTGTGTAGGGTGAGGCTCTGACTTTGTTCATTTTTTTCAGTGTACCTCAGCCACTGTCCCAAAATTGCTTCCCCATTCATTATGTTCCCCCTTCCTGCTCAGTGATAACGTCTGTGCCACCGTGCACAGGTTTCATCTCCATTGTCCTCCATTTTACCGAGTTTCTTGTCAGAGTTCTTTCCACACAAGTTTTAAGCTGGCTTTCATTTGCTTCTTCCTCCAGATGAATTGTAACAGTCACTTCATCACTCGAAAAATCGCACCTCCCACAAAATAAGCAAACTGGTTTCTCAGGATTTAACTGACTTGTGTGAAACTTCGGTCTCGTGAGTTCGGGGAGATCGGATGCCTCGACCACATTTACAGGGCGTCTCCCTCCCTTCCTGGGAGTGTGCAGGTGCTGGGTCTTCTGTTCATCTCCTTGATGACTCTGTAGCTCAGCTGGTTTTTAGTTTTTTGGGAGCTGTGTTTTCGCTCGTTTTTAATGATCCTTGTTGGTCCTGTTGATTTTTGTAGCTCTGTCTTAACCACAACCTTGCTGCTCAGTCCTAATCGGTAGTTCGTAGTTCTTCTGCTGGTGCTTGGGGTTCTCAGAGCAGATAATCTTTCATCTGTTTCTGACCACTCAGGATATTTGCATCTGCGATGTGCTGTCGGGTCCTTCATGTGTGAGTTTTTGTTTGTTGTTTTGCAGCACTGAGGCAATAGGCAATGAGCTGCCAGGAGCTCCGTAGGCTCTGTCTCCTGGCCTATGGGGTGGAGTGGGTTGGCGTGTGGGCTGTGCCCAGTACCCAGGGCTGCATGAGGTGAGCATGCACATGCTGCAGAGTGTGGAAGCACCATGATTGTTGGCCGTGCACGGGTCCTTAAAGTCACTCTCACATCACTGTCAGACCCCAAAAACATTCTGTGTAAGATACGATAATTTCTGTGGAACTGATAGCTTTTGAGTTAGTACATTTTAATCTCAGCATTTGAGGACTCTGCAGCATTACAAATTAGGTTTAATACCAGTTTCCATTGTGCAATTTCATGTTGGGAAAATGGACGGTGGAACCAGTGAAAATAGTCTTTTCCCCTGAAAAAGAGCATAACTCTTGTTACAGTAAAGCGTAAGCTGCGAGGGAGCCTTCCGTGAACCGCAGGTGGCACGAGTACATTTGTGCTTCTGGGTGATCGCAGAGCTGCACTCGGGGGGCGGCCCTGGAGGTGTCACCCTGCAGGACTCAGGCGGGGGCTCCAGAGCGCTGTGCTCTAGTGAGGAAGACGTCTCCAGGCTGAACCTGCCCCTTTGAGCTACTTTCCTTACCCTACAATAGTAGTGACCATAAAGGGAAGCGGGAGCCACACAGTCATATTAGCCATCCATGACTCTTATGAAAGAAAATGACCAAGAGAAGCAGGAGTGGTGCGGAAACCTGGGGAGATGAGGACCTGCCGGTGTCCAGGACCTGGAGCAGAGGCCTAGGTTGGGGCAAGCTGGCCTCTTTGTGTGGTGGGAAGCACAGCACTTAGGGAGAAGGGGCTGCACTGGTGGACTGTGTGTTCTTAGGAAGTGTGAGCAGGAGGCGGGTGGGGCAGGGAAAGCAGGAGAGATAGTCTGGCTTGGTATGTATGCATTCATTTATTTGACTTGGCTTTGAAAAGACCTGCTTTTGAAGTTGCAGGGTGGGTGTGGAGGCCAAGGGTAGTGAGGGCTCCTGGTGTCTGAATGAGACATGGAGGTAGCTTGGACCAAGCGCCAGGTTTCCGGGTCACTGTGGTGGAGGTTACAACTGTGCTGATGGATTGGGTGACACTTGTTCAAAAGGAAAAGACCCATGTGAGTGCTTTGGGCACCTGGGCAGTGTCACCTGTCAGCGTGGTAGGCTTAGGGGACAGTGCCAAACGCTGGGACACGCAGAGCCTGAGATGTGTGAAATACCCACATGCGGTGCAGCTGGGGTGGGACAGGTGGATTTGTACTCGGGGAGCCATGGAAGCCAGATGTGGGACAACCTGATGCTCGCAGCCTCCAGGGTGTTTGCAGTCCGCGCCTCTGGGAGGTTGCCAGCTGGGTATGTGCCGGACGAGGGTGTGCTGCACCCCTGGGTGTGTGCAGGTGTGGGGTGCACTGAGGCCCAGAGCTCGCCAGGTTCCCGGTCAGGAGACTGGAGGCTGAGTATGGCAGAGGAAATGGAAGGCTGGGAGCTGAGGCGAGGAGGATGCTCTGGAGAGTAGGGTCCTGGCCCGGGAGGGGCAGAGTCTCGTCTGGTCTGATGAAGGCTTGTGTGGCATCAGGAGGACCAGTGAGGGATAGGCTGTTTGTGGGGACCTGGGTAGAGACCCCTTTACGCCCAACTGAAGCAGCTAAACACAAAAGCCTTTACTATCATATTCTAATCTGTTGTTAACTATTTTATGTCAGGAAGGAAGGAGGATAATATTTCAGCTAGAAATTTAGACTCTGTAGTGTCTGGATTAAATAAAGAACGAGATCAGGAAACTACAACTTCAGAAATAGGTAAGAAAATGTATTTTTTGGTTTAAATTCCTTCTTTGATATGAAATAGTTACACGTCAGTGTAGTTGTACATTTTATCATCTAACCACTTTGATGTCCTTGGTTTTGCACACTGTATGGAGGACCAGATGACTTGATGTTTTATTTGTATAACTTGTTAAGTTATATGTTGTTTCATTAATTTAGCTTTAAGTTCATCTCTATATGCCTTAGGTGTAACTTGCATGATGTAGGTAACATGTATGCATGCTGGACACAGTGTGCGTGTTACAGTGTATGCCGTCTGCCCATGATTAGCTTGCCTATGTGTGAGGTGCAAGGTGTATATGTCACAGGTAGTGCTCAAGTCCAAATGCTTCTCCAGTCTTCTCGGCACTTTATAAGGTCATGTGGATGGTGATGTGCACTGTTTTTCTGTCTTCGTCCCGTGTTGCTTTGGTCTGTTGCTGGCACACTGGGGCGTTGTCCTGCCCCATCCACTGTATGCAGGGCTGGCGGTGTGGCCTGGCTCCCCTCAGGGGTGACCCTCGGTGAAGTATCAATCACTCCAGTCTCCTCTGACTTTGAGACTCAAATACTAGAATTCTTGAGTTGCGATCAAAGAAAAGACATATCAATTTTGACTGTAGGAAGAGCTACTGTTTTTGGGGACGTGTCTTTCAGCTAGCAATTTTTAAAACTCTGGGAATGTCCGAAATGATGAGAAGCACAGCCTGACCACAGCACCTCCTCCCTCCCACGCTGCCCGAGATGCTTGTGTGGACACCATGGGAGGCGCTGTCATCCAAGCCGAAGGGTGTCCCCTCTGCATGGGCACTCATTGTAATTCAGCCCCTTTCTGTGAGACTTTGTTTTATTTTTTCCGGAGCTCTCATCAAATCCAGGATTATAGTAAACGGGACTGTTCTGTAGCCATCCACAGAGGCCTTCCCAGATGTAACCCACAAGCCAGGCAGTGACAGGAGAGTTTGCTGGAGGTGCAGGAGCCCATCTCCACTCCTGCTTGCCTGCCGCTTGAAGATGCACAAAAGCGATTCATTTCTAGTCAGACCTGGAGCCATGTCCACGCTGCCCCTGCCCAGGGCAGTTGTTGACAGTTTCAGGTTTTTCTTTTTCTTTAAAGCCATGTTTTTGTTTTTGCTTAGTTCCTTGTT